TCTACAAAAGTTCCTCGTTGTTTGCCGAATGAACACGGCGGCTAGATAGCATTGTAAATACAGCGCTATACTTGACTTTGTTTTATTTAAAAGTTAATGTTCAGTGATTTTTGTACTCAAGCTTCTGCGATAGCATTTTTTTATTTAACCCAATTTCCGCAACTTCGTTAAAAATTAACTTATCTATATTACTCATTAATCAATTAGTATTTATTTATACATTTTACTGTCAATGTAATATAATAAATGAATTCTTTACTACAACTGACAGTCACGATTTAAGTAAAATTTTATTGATAATGTCACTTCAAAATATGTACAAAGATTTGGATACAAATAATTTTTAACGAGTTTCATCAATCAAATCTTAGCGTAAATGCTCTACAATTAATTGACTCAAGTGAAAACTCGCAAGACTCAAATTCTACTTAAGCTTCGAGAAACTTTGTCTAAAGTAAGATAAAGTCGACATTAATTTTGCAAGACCAAACGAATGATGGAATACCTAACGATTTAAGTACGTTTTCACAGTTTCGAATGACCAAAAGTTAGTGAAGTTCTAATACTTTTGTATCTGATAATTTTAAACGGTTAATTTTTTTTCTTATTTTTGATATTAAGTCACTTTGAATAATATTGAGAGTGCCTTTTGGCTAGTGTTTAATAAAATATTTTTAAAATGTTTTGTATAAAGTGTGGCTTCAAATTTTATCAGGTAATTTAATCTGTATATTCATTATTGGTATGGGTTTACGAGGCGACGACAAAGACCATTTTTTTTGTAAAATGGGTACCGCATACAAATTTCAAAAAAAAATCTTTTATCTTCATTTGGATAGTCTACAAGCAGGTATAATGTTCACAAAAACAACTGAATAGTAAATACGTGCTTCTTGACGGTTCCAAGGCATTCGTAAATATAATAATATTTTTTTGTACGACAGGTTGAATCAGGTAATTCTGTGACAGATATTCGGGTTTACCAGTCCTTTTGTTGGACTAAAATAGATTCCTGTTGGTCCTTGAGCCTTTTTTGATGTGCAATTTATTTCGCATCTTTTGTGCTTCGTAATAATATATGAATTGGGTAACGGATTCTGAAAACTGATTAAGACTGGGGTAATATTAATATTTTTATATGCGAATTCAAGTCAAAGACTTGAGTTTTTTTTACAATGTAACATTAATACTAACAATTAAATTTAAAAAAAAACTTTGACAATACATAGGTATAACACACACATGCATGCAAATACAAACAGATTATATTCAAAAAGTAACGAATGAAAATCGTGGTAATATTCCCATATTTATTTCATATGTATTTAATAAGGTACAAGGAATAAATATATTTGAAACCAGCCGCGCTTTTAAACCAAATGACTATGACAATGTATAAAGTTCAAGTGACTTGAATGTGATTTGCGTTCTTAACCTATTTTCCTTTATATTATTACTTAGCACATATTATTCCTACTTTTAATACATAAATATTGAAATAAGAATGTTCAAAGTTCAAATATAATATTAACTTTCAATTAACTCTAGTTACTTGACTGCAGAGAATTGATATTGGCATTTTATCTGTCTTGTAATTCGTGGATTAAAAGATGTTCCTTTGTGGATGCCGTTTGTTTCCTTAAATATTTCTTCTTTGACATTTATTTCATTTCAACAAAAAGTCCCTTAACATTTAATTTGATCAACAATAAAAGGAAAATAATATAAGCACATATTTTTATTACATCAAATAAAAACAACTAAAACGTATTAATAAAACCCAAGTAAAAGCAAACGTCGGAGTAGATTTTGATTACACAACCAACCAATATTTGCGAATAGGATAGGTATTATAACCTACTCCTGGTAAGCAGCAATAGCGGCCCATGTAAAAATAAGACCCGTAATATAAATCCCTTTCCTTCTATTAGTAAGAAAATGAGTTGAATATTTTCATCCCTTGCCAACTCATAGTAAACCAAATTCAGAAGAAATCCCTTGAGACTGAACTTTGATGAAAAATCGTTTTAGATAAAAGGAAAAAAATCTAAATATTTTCCTTTTTAATCCATTTAAACTTGATGTTATGAAAGTATATAGGGATATGCTAACTTATTTGATTATATTAATGTAAAATGTACATAAAATTATGAGATTAAGCAGAAATTAAATGTAAATATTTCGTAATAAAAAAATTAATAATATATGTAGTAGATAGATATATTTGTTTTTTAAATATAAATCAACAATAAACATTACTAAAATTGGAAACAAAATATTTCAGAAAAATATATTGAATATACGTATATTAATGTTAAACTTTCTTAAAACATTATTCTCTGTCAATTTAGAGCTACGAGTGGAGCACTGCATTGGTCTTTGCTGAACATTAAATAACAGACGCGATTTGTTGAGAGCTTAGTCATCTGAGATGAACGTGATTTTACGTCTGTCGGTAACAGTTCCAAAACATATTATGTAATCATTTTCTACACTACTTACGATGTAATTAGTACTTCGCTCTGCATTATATCCTATAAATTTTAAATGAAAGCCAAAACAAAATGTAACTTACTTGATACTTAAACGTATATATATTCACGCATAATTAATTTACACTTTTATTATGCCATACTATTATACTGTTCATTGTCAGAAGACTTACTTTTTCCCATTGATTTTTCCTTTATATAACAGACATCGTCGATTTTTCTTTTACATAACACTTTAAGTCTCCTTCCTTTGATTTTCTAAAAGAGTAATTTTTGTCACCGTCAACGATCTTTTGACACAACAATTACATAATTGATTTGAGTTTAAAATAGGAAATCTTATTGTAGAAAAATCTTTTATGATCGGTTTATAATTTACATAAGAAATTTATTCTTATTTTAATATTTTCAACTCTTGCTATTTCCTAAGACATTTCGTATCATTTTTGTATCAATAAATATAAGTGATACCAATATATTTTGAAGAAATTCCAAAGGCCTTTAAATGTCTTAAACTTTAAGATCACACCATAGAGTTCATTTTTCAATAAACAGGATCTTTCTATCTCCAAGCAAGCGTCTCGTAAATTCCCATTGCTTGTCAGACCCACTTTAGGGTGTTTGGAATAACTTGAATATTTTAGTCTTGCTAATTGAAATGCATACTCTATACTGGATGCGGTTGTATTATGTATCGATATATTGTAGCCACTCGGTTTGAAGTGAAAATACTAATTAGTAATAGTTCAAACAATCATTATGAAATTATTTTGATTTAAATACTCATTGAACTAGAAATTTATGGAAATATCATTTGTGATAACATCATTCATATAAGTATTCCTATTCATTTAAAAAGCACAAAAGTCCTATCAGGTTAAATAATAGCGATTTATTGCTTATTTAGCCTTATAGTGATACTTTTCTTAGTATCTATTTCATTCATAATAAGACAATAAATGTGTCCAGTCATTTTTAGGATATCTATGAGTATGTATTATACATAAAAAAAAATCAAATATTTAAAAATTTCCCCCAAATATGTTTTATAAAATAATTGAATAGTGGAGCTGTAATCAAAATGTAACATTATAGTAGTTACACCTGAAAATACATATGTATTATTATTTGAATAAGCGTATTTTCATTATAAACGTTCCTGAATAAAGCACCACAACAACATTATTCTATTATTAAATTTAACTATACACAATTGAATACCTACTTTTTTACTTCACAATTTAAATGCAGAACCTACATTCGAATGCCAAGAAAATATGAAAAAATAAAACACAAAGAAACATTTCGTATATTTCGAAACAACTCAATAGAACTCCGCTTTACCTGGAAAGTTCATCTACAATCGTAAAATTGTCTCTTCTAACTTTTTCAAAGAAAGATCAAACTTCGCCTAAAGAGCAACAAAAGGCATTTTAATATTAAAATGTACCATTGTAAAGAATTACTTCATAAAAACAATGGGTTTTAAGTAGACAAGTTTTAGTAAGGAATTTGAAAGATTAAATAACAAAAGCAGAACGTTTTTGTCTAATTAAGCCTAAATCTAGCGAGGATAGTAAAAAACTCAATACAATAATCATTTGGGACAACAAAGGACTTTTATGTTCCGGCCTTTCAGATGCTCGATAAGGTCATTACTATAAAAAGAAACGAGTGACGTTCTAATTAAAAGAACCCTTAATTAAGTATTAATCTCTAGGGAATGTTGTCCATTTCGTATTGAATTACTAGAAAGATTAATATGTAATCATTATGAATATTTAAATTGATACATAATTCTTTATGAGTGTAACAATGAATGGAACAGCTTAAATGAACCAAAAAATGTTTGATTAAATTAACATTTATTTGTATACTTATAGTTAAATTTCACCGGTTATGGCTTTTTTATCTAAATTGTTTTTGAAATATTCTTAATTAATAAATATTTATGAAACTATTATTGTCTTAGAATAAGAAACCTAATGAATATATATGTTGTTCTCTTAATTAATTATTAACTTTCGTTTGCCTAAACGTATGAGTCATAGCTATGGCATTTGATACACACCCCATAAATTAGTTTGAGTGCACGCAGGTTTTGAATTGCATTTAATGTATTCATAAATTACCTTATTACTTTGATAAAATGAAATTCCATAATTATATGTTATATTATACAATTAGCTTTTTATGATTAATTAATTATTATTTGTGATACCATTCATAAAATTTATATTATTGTATAAAAACCGTATCATAAATTTCCTTATTCACACATGTTCAATAAATGTTTATGTAATACTTCCATCGTATTTTCGATATATATTTATTGAAATTAAACACAAATGATTGTTGTTTATTTTAAACACAATACCATACTCTAAAATAGGGATTAATAACATTCGTTTCATTACACTCAAACAGTTTTAATGGATACTGTATAAAAAGAATTCCAACATTAATGTACATTTTGTTTTGTTTCAGATTTCTGAAAAGCTAGTGAGTATGGATACAAACATTCAATATTTACTTCTGGCTCTTGCACTGACCTCAGTGCAAATATCGTTTACTGAGAGCCGTCTAAATGAAAAACGCAGGGATAAAACTGAAAGACGATATCATTCTGTTCAAGCTAAAGACAACATGTGCGAAATTACTAACAGAGAATCCAAAGTACATTGCTATTGTGAAAATACTGAGGTTAAAACTGCGACTAGAGCAGACTGCTGGGTATTTAATGGCGGTATCGATGAAACCGACCCAATTTGGTCGAGCTTCAACTCCCAACCGCATCTAGAAAGATTAACATTCAATGTCAGGTCTGATGGTGCACTTAAATTTATTCCTCTTCAAGTGATCCATCGTTAAAAAAAATTGCAAAAGCTTTTTATACATTACGCGACCTTGAATAAAATCGGAAAAGATTCTTTTAGAAATATGTCAACGCTGAGAGAAATAACTTTAATGAATGATAAAATCATGGAGCTAGATTTTTCCGCATTTTCGAGTCTCCCTGCACTCGTAAATCTGACAATAAAAGGAAATAAAGTAACCGAGATACAGCGGGATGTTTTCGTCGATTTGCCGAGTCTAAAATATCTCGATCTGTCGTTTAACAGCATTAGTCTGGCTCACGATGGATGTTTTGAACATTTGAATGTACTAAACGATCTCGTACTAGAAGCGAATTTAATATCGGTATTAACTAAAGATACTTTCAAGGGTTTGGCTAATTTGACAAGATTAGATTTAAGATCCAATAAAATGTCTATGGTTGGCGATCTTACGTTTTCAGAATTATGGAATCTGAACGAACTCCTGTTAGATAATAATGAATTAAAATATTTATCTGAAAGGGCTTTTGATGGACTAGCCATGCTTCAAAAACTATCAATGACAGGAAATAAATTGCAAACCATTAACGAAGGGCTCTTGGAAGGCGTAAGAGGGTTAGAATTATTGGATTTAAGGAACAATGAGATTGAATTGTTCACTTACGAAACAATCAAACCTATTCTGGAAAATTTAAAAATGAAGACGTCAGTTCTCTATTTGAGTGGTAAGTTTTTTACGGCTTATATAATTTAAATTAATATAGTCATATACTTGTAAATTTTTTCTTACATAATACTAATCCTAATGTTGATATACATATTTCATATGATAATAAGAGTTCAAATTCAATAAATGAAATATCAAAAACAACACTGTACCCTACATTGTGGGATAAATATGTTATCAAAGACCCAATAACATACCATTTCTACCAAGCACACTTCATGGGAAGATAAATAACTATATTTTGTGCAAACAATAGCATACTCCCTGCAGGGTTTTAATCCCCTAAAAAAAAAGCTAAAGCACCCTTCGCACGTTAAGGACAATAAATGAGTGTAACAGCACCCTTTAGAGAGTCAACAATGGCGTAATAACACGATTTAGACACAATGAAATATGAATTATTAAAAATCAACAAACATTACGAGAGTGTTCTCATGATAATTTTATTGTCATATTTTTGTTGACCAGTGAGCGCCCCCGGAATTGAATACCGCTTCATTAGATTAATAGTCACATTATTTTATATTATAGATACATTGAAATAAAATAAATATTAATTATGATATTTTATTGACAATAACACCTTAATATTAAAGTTGTTTTTATTATATGATATTATTATAATAAAAATTAAGGGTATTTATATTTTACTATTAATTACTCTAACCAAAAACATTTTTTACAGGCAATGACTTCAGATGTGATTGTCGTTTATCGTGGATACAAGTTTTAAGAAATGAAACCAAAAGTGAACCACTTCGAACTGCTCTCGACGAAATCACCTGTTCCTTTATAACTGTCAATAAAGCTACACCTAAAACAAATTTAGAGAATAGTGTGAAAATTCTTCATCCATTCAAAACAGAAGCGAACATTGACGTAATTCAACAAAATGATAATGACGAAGATGGTTCTAGTGACATAAGTTCACAATATAAATTTGAAACCACTACAAAACTCTTTGCTAATGAAGTCATTTTAGTAGACATCCCCCCTGAAACATTATCCTGTCCAGGTGAACTAGTAGCAACAGGCGAAGACTCGCTAATGCTTTCATCGAAAGATGAGAGTTATTGGCATTCAAATTCATGTATGAAAACCTTGTCAAGTTTTCTAATGATGCTTACGTTGGTCATAATGTACACTATTCGTTGAAATACTCTGCTGTTCACTTATATGATCTTTATTTGATGCATTGGCTGCTGTTTAATTGTTTATTTAAACTATCGAAGAAGACTGGTTAAGATATTTAAATAAATTATTCCTTATAACTGTGTTTTTCGCTTTAATCTGTGTGTGGCAAATCAAATTATATGATAATTGTAAAATATGTTATGTAAATTTGTTTTTTTTTTTTTAAATTTAAATTAAGATTACGAAGGTCAATTTCTGAATTAAAATTCTTTTCATTCACTTTTATTTTAACAGCGTCTATTAAAAACATTGAATATTTAAAATAAATGTTATACAGAATGTTTGTTGAATCAAATATTTTATTGACTTATATCGCATACAAAGCCAAAATATTGATATTTTGGATTCACTCGAAACCACGTTTGGCATGTTATCAATTGCTATAGGAATGATCAAAGCATAGTTTCAATATGTATAACCCACCAATTTTCGTACATTTCTCTTATATTTGTATTTGAATATTGATACGTTTAGTCAACTTATTTTTTTTATACTTAGTGTGATTGTTCTTTGTATTTATTATTTAAATAGGTGTGTTATTTGAAAGTTTAATAATAAATTAAGCAAATAAAATTACTCGGTCTTTGATAAATTCTATTATTAATATTACAATTTAAGTAAGAAAGAATAACGTTGTAAATAAAAATTTATAAAATAGTATTGAAAGAAATCTTTGAACTTTAAATATTATCAGAATAAAATTTCATCACATATCATATCAAATTTTATATAGACTCCATAAATATTTTTGGTAAAGAAACGATTGGGGTTATTGAAAAAATGTCGTCTTTGCCTACATTTATAAGATGACGTATTTAAGATCGTAATAAAATATCTTCTTCATAAAGTGCTTTCATGTTTTAGGGCCTTTATCAGAATGTTTGTGTAATTGATAGATTTTAAGTAATTTTGCCTAGCTTAGTGTGATAATTGTGAATATACCATTATAAGTAAAATAAGATTTAATTAAAGTGTGTATTGAAGTTGTAGATACAAAGGCATTGTAAATATTAAAAATAAAGTTTATTGTCACACATACATTGGTCTTTTTGTTCAGTGAATTTAAGAAAAGATTCATTAACCCATATTAGTACAAAAAGAATTGTTTGACGGCTTATTTTTGTTTCAAACAATGTATTTGGTTTAACGAAAATATGTTTAAATAAATTTATTTTGTGTTAAACCGAATTAAATGAAATAAATTATAACCGAATTAGATAATTAAAACATTCAACACTATTTAAATAATCGTCGTAAATTCATGTGAATAATTTTCGTAATATCCATAATCAGATTTAATTCAAAACCATGATTGTGTTTTGCCGTGAAAATTCATTATAACACCCACTAGTTGTTATATCTAGAAAAACAAATTGCAAATGGACATATCACTCATCCTGATTGGTAAATAATTTTAACAAGAACAGCTACTAAATCTATGGCTATTTATATTTCATTTACTTTATTTTAATAGATAAGCATCTTAATAAAAACGAGATTATATTAAACAACAGATTCACATCGAAGTTTCTTGAAAACTTTCACTTCTTTTAATAGTGTATGGTAGTTTGGAAGGAGTAGAGTGTTACAAAAGTGGAAGATAATAACAGTTCATATACTCCTTTCAAACTAAGCTATGAATTGAATTTCTAAATCGACATCTAGTTTTATTCATATTTATTTGTCACTATATTTCATAACAATATATTATTGTAATAAATAATGTATCAATAAATTCAATATTTAAAATATTTGAAGAACCCTTGTGCATGTAAATAGGTCTGCTTATTAAAACCAAGAACCGACTAAAATGTGACCTTACAAAGAAATGAAAGTATCTTTATACTCTCTAAATGGCCACCGGCTCATTTTACCTGTATTACGGTCTCAAGAAAATCCTCAAAGATGGCTAAAGGCGGGCAAAGCTCTATTCAAGGCCTAAAATTTTAAAAATATCATCTTAAAGAAAATTGTAGCTAACAATTTTGCTGAAGGTATTTTATTTATGATTGCCGTACGAAATAAAACTATAATCTTTTGGATCTAAAAACTTTACAAAAAGCGGAGTCACTTTTGGTTATTTAAGAAAGGTTAAGCATTATTTTGAATAGAATCGTATCTTAAATAAAGAAAAAAATATTGTACATTTATATCTTAAACAAAAATAATATTTAATCCATTTGATAGCTTTGATGTATTTGGTTCGTGTCATCAGTCGTAATCACATCACAGCTGGGCACAGGTCTCCTTCACAATACCTCATTTTAAATTGCAATAAAAATAAATTTCCCTTACATGTAATAACTGTTCTATATTTCGATAAATAAAACCACTCAATACTAAAGATTACAAATAGTGCTTTGGTCCGTTGTCTTAATTTGAAACTAACTATAATGAATATTTTGCTGGTCTATGAATTCTTATTTTTGATGAACTCTAAATGCCAATCTCGGATGTTAGTTTTATAAAAAAAATCCACGCAATATTTACTTGTAGCAGTTTTTATACTATTAGAATAAATATAATTATGTTCAAAATGTATTTACAATTATAATAACTCAATTTATTTTCTTATTTAATGTTAACATCAACATTATGGAGTTCCATTCATGATAATCCGCAATCCTTTAATATCTGAAACTGGTTTGGTATAACTCATTTCATCGCCTATGAGTTATAAACCATATTTCCCCTCATTTATTCCTGATTGGGTTACTTATACGTCTTTGAAGGGGTTCTTTTGAAAATAAAGCCTTTATAGGCATTTATGTTCCTATTTGTTCTCACATATTTGTAATGCTTTCATCGCGAAAAAAATTATTGCGAAAATAAAAACGAAGATTCCATTCAATGTTATATTTGTATAGAATTTCGTATTTTGATATAAAGTGGATTATAGATTAACATAATTTTTATATTGTAAAAGCTTACGTAAACGTTTCTTGTAGGTGGAGTAAAATTTATGTCATTCATAAAATAAATTTTTGCATATAATAAGACAATTGATGTGATGTTTAAATTATTTATTTGTATTAAGGACCTAAAACTGAACCGTGAACTCGAAATACTTGTGAAATACAAGACAATTAAACTTTTATTTCATATGGTGCATTTTTAAAAATATTACAATATACATATGTGTAATTTATATGTATAATATACACATATGTATAATATATATATTTATATGACGGAGTATCAACAATACGTTGTGTAAAGTGCCTTATTTTGGGAAAACTAGTTTATATATATATATATATATATTCCATTTTAATAAACTACTGTTTTCAATATTTATCCATAGCCAACAGCTGGAGATCGTTCCTGTGATAAGTTTGATTAGCATCTAGATATTTAATTAATACAATAATAATTTATTCGAATTTATTTGTTAACTAATTATGGATAAAATAACAAGTTTATTTAATGTGAGATGTATAAAACTCTCTGTAGTTACGAATAGATAAATGTTTAATTTTGAATACAAACATATAAAAATGTATGCATTTTGTGTTTGACTTTATCTATATGAATACCGCCAGAGAGTGTAGAATCTGTGTTTAAAATAGCCCGAACAGCTGTATTTTTTAGTTGTTTTATTATTTCACATTTACTTGAGATGTAATGTATTTTGTGCATGTTATTATTTTAAAAATGGAAAAAGACAGGTAAAAAATCATTAATAAAAGATATGACATTTCTAAGAGACATGTATATGTATTAATTATTTGCACAAATTAAAGATATAAGCCTCAGAAAGAAACATCATCATGAGTAACCCAAATCTGTTTCTCAACATTTTTTGAGTTCTATTAGAAAAGATCCTAGGATAATACACCCCTGGAATTACAGTTATTTTGGGCGGGCACCACAATAGATAGAACATTTTAATTTGCTCTATAAAATAAATAAAACATTTTTTCAAATACTTCCACATATAAAGACTTTTTATTATAATCTGAATGCCATCATTAACAAATATATTATAATATTCAATGCTTGTACCCATTGTAGTACCTTGACTTTGTAAAGCGTTATAAATTGTATCTACATTGAAATTTACCCTTGAGAATTTATAACCCTACTTATGGTCCAAACTATAATCTAATGTCATAAATACCTCTAATATGAATGTTTGGAAGATACATAAGTAAAATAATGTTGTTAAATATGCAAAAATTCTAATACATATTACTTTATTACTTGAAGTCATTGTATAATTATATTTTTTAAGTTTTTTTTTTCGTAATATGTTTTAACTCTATTATCTAATATATTTAATAAGTCAACATTAATAAGATATGAAGTGAAATTTATGTAAGTATTGGATTCTAAGTAAACGCCCAAATTCCAGTTTGTTTAGGAATATACGGAACACGTTGCCCTAATAGCTACGATTTTCCTTTCTTTTGGTTAACATAAATACGTTTAACATCATTGAATAGAACTTATAGTATATTGAAAATTACTACATTTATACGTTAGCAAATACCTTAATAATGAGAAAATAGGAAGCATAAATAGTATTACAAAGAAGAAATAATAATAATAAAAGTATCAATAATAATCAATCGTAACACGTAAACGGCTTCATTATTTATATTGTCTGAATAAAGATACGTCCAAATTATTGGTTCCTAAAAAGAAAATAATAAAAATAAAGAATGAACCTATAAGAAGAATCAAATATACATTTACTAAATGTAATATGTATACTTTTAATACAAAATTAAATTAAAACATATTATTGTACATACCTAACTGTAATTTAATTTAAATTGTTTTCACCATACTTATCTTTATGAACACATACAAGTGTTGCTTTTATCAATGTCTTCGTAGTTATATTAGTATCTTCAGGTCAAATAAAAAATAAGGAATTAATTTTGTTCAGGCGTCTATTAGTTTTGTATCTAATATAATAGTAATAAAGTTTCTTTAATGAACTTACGTGTACAATT